CATCTGGTCACCCAACATACACAGAGCTGGTATGTAACAACCCTGCTGTTAAGCTGGGTCATGGCCATAATGATGGGAACTTGTCCCGGAGTGAAGCTAAAGAAGGCCCTTTCGATTTCTTACCCGAGACATGACATTCCCATTTCACTCTGGAAACTGAAGGATTAGAGGCTGTTAAATTGGGAAATATCCATAAGCAAAGCTCCAATTACTTTCTCTGTGGTCCATGTGTCTTGAAGATGTATCCAGTAGACCGGAATTCCCATGTGGAGCTGCCTTAGGACAGCTGTGGGATCATGCAGTACCATCCCTCACGGCGATGTCATTCTCTGTCACACTGTGCCAGCACAATTGGAGGAGACTGAGGACCGTACATACAGCATGCCGGACTGCTCAAGAAGGAGCTGCTGCCCACACCGCCTGAGCTGACAGCATTTGGACACAGGTCTCACAAGTTCTGAGGGGTAAAGGTGAATCCTCAGTCGGGCCTGCTCCTCCCCTCCTCCCAGGTTGGATTTCTGCTTTTGACCTTGCCAACAAAAGCACTGGCACCAGGCCCCGAGTGATGGTCGCAGCTTAGGGCTGACCAGGAAAGCACATCGAGGAGAGACAGAAGGAAGCTGATCCGCTTGGAAGGTTTCTGAGGGAGGGCATCCCAGAGAGGACGAGGCCTAATTTAGACTGTATCTCATGACCCCGGCAAACTGGAGAACCTTCTGGTGAAGGTGATGCCGCCTCACTCTCATCCCAGATCTTATGATCGATCATAACACAGCTCCCTGACCAAACCGACCTACTACAAGAACATTTGTTTATTTCAACGTGGGGGAATACAGAGGTGAGGGGGAAGGAAAGGAGAGGAAGCCAGAGAGGAGGAGGGTGAGGATGGGGGACAAGAGAGGGAAGGACTGTGAGGTTTAAGAGGTGGGCAATCCCTCAATGGTCACTGGGGAATCCTGAGGAGTGGCAATACACTCAGTGATATCTGGGAGCCTCAGTTCTGGGCATTCATCTAACATTTCTTTTTTTCCTATCAGCTTATGCCTGTTGATAGGTCCTTCCCTGTGCAGCTCAGATATCTTGGTCCATCCCTTCCATTGCCTACCAGGATCAGCACTATCCTGCCTTAGTGTTCTTCCTTCTCAACTGATCAAAACTCCAAGGGAGATAAACAGCAAGCTTTCTTAAATTCTAAAGAACATAATCTTCAATGGGGGAAAAAAAAAGAAAAAAAACAGGGCGTCTGGGTGGCTTTTGTTGGTTAAAGGTACGACTTCAGCTCAGGTCACAATCCTGCAGTTTGTGAGTTCAAGCCCCATGTCAAGTTCTGTGCTGACAGCTCAGAGTCTGGGGCCTGCTTCGGATTCTGTGTCTCTGTCTCTCTCTGCCCCTCCCCCACTCGTGCTCTGTCTCTGTGTCTCAGAAATAAATGTTAAAAAAAATGTTTTAAAGCCTAGAAGGTATATAAATGACTTAGAACTACTGTTTCTATAATGGGAAAAGACCAATATCTATTTTCACATTTTTCTGGAACTGACAGACTAAATTTCTTTAGCAATTTTCTATGATGAAGTGATGGTATTTGAAATGTTAGATAAAAGTAGTGAATTGTGTTTTCCACAGTTTGATTTGATGACCAAAGTGGAAATCAAGATGAGAGGTACTTAGATTCTGAAGTATGGGCTGTGTTTTTGGACTTAGCTAATCAATTGGTGATAAATGTACAGCATCATCTAATTTCTGAATTCTGATTTTTTTAACAAGTATGAAAATCAGCAGAGTTCATATCATCCGTATGATTTGAAATTTGTGCTCAGAGTCTTTAAACACAACCTCCTTTAAAAGCAAAATAACTACAGACCCTACAGAAATCCATCATGCCAGCCTGCACTGGATAGTACTTTATCTTGTTGTCAGCCCTTCGTGTATTTTGAGGAAAATAGACCTAAATAATCTCAACCCCCCCTTTTTATTATCATTAAGGTGTAATAACTCAACACTTTAAAAACCTTTAGAAAAATTACATGAAAGATGTAGAATTCTTACTTTGGGAACACAGGTACAATCTCCATTGTTCATTTCCATGTTTTGGTTTATAACTGAAACTGGTTACATTTGACTGGTTACAGGCAAATGGTTTGTACCATTGACATAAATTAGAAAAAAAAAAAATTTATTGGTTTCTCGAAAAGCACTCAGAAGCAGGTATTACATTTTCCAGAAAGAAAAGCAGAGCAACTAAAAGTCTGTATGCACCAAATGAGATGAAAGAGTGATCCTTGGGCTGGTTTCTGTCTTTTGTTTGTTCCCTACCTGCCTACCTTAGGATGAAAAAACAAACAAAAGATTCAGTTAGAATCTTCACAGTCACCTTTTCCAATTCTCTCCTCTATCCAGGTTACCTCCTTTCCGAGTATACCAGATGTTCCAGCAAAATATTTGTAATTTACCCTTACTTTTCAATCTTTGTTAAGTGTCTGATTTAACGACTATTTCCAAAGAATTATGGCTTAATTAGTTGCAGGTATGGGCAACAACACGCCTTACAAAAAGAGGAGAATGATAAGCCCAAATTGTATCACTTTTACACAAATCTTATTAGTTACTCAGCACAGTAATGTTCAGTTGTGGTGGGATGGTTCCCCATCAGTAGGCTAACCATTGCTAAAAAGAGGCTGCTTGGCTGTCTTCAAGCAGAATGAGCATTTTCCCTATTTATGGGACTCCCTGGCTTAAAACACCAGGTCTCATTTATCCAAACTCAGAAGGGATGGAACATGTGTCAATTAATTATGTTGTTAAATTATAACTGCCAAGATTTGTGGGAAGACACCTTCTTTTTCTTCTCAGAAAGGCCCACCAAGCCTGGACCTCATAATGCATTCTGGTCTCAGCAAAGGGACGAACCAGAAACAGATTGTTATTTCCTTGGGGGCAGGTTGAAGATCTAGGAAGCTGGGGGAGGAGAAGGAAGATAGGAAGCAAAGCCTATATGCGTGTCTCCCCCTCCTCCATTTTCTAAGCAGATTTGGGGCTACCAAATCTTCAACACAAGGTGATGATGACCTCTTTGAAAGGGTGTATGTGCTGTGTCCTCCCTGGATCGTGCATTTACCTCCTTATACTTCTGTCTCCACAGAAGACACAAGGCACTTGAGGGAACAGATCTTGACATGTACACCATCCGTCATTTCATCCCCCTCTTTGGGCCCAATGGTGGAGTATCGTGTGATTTCCAGTTGGGTGCAAACTTGCTAATGTCTTGTTCTGTCTTGTTTATCTTCAGATTATGTCTAGATTCTAGAATAAGAATGGGAAGGCCCCCTACATGCAGAATCAGGACACTGCTTGAGCAGAGGGAGTTGGATAAATGTACACCATGAAACCTTCTCTTAAAGAGCTCGTAGTTATTAAAGGTGATGACTGAGATTCTCAGCAGGAGTAAGAAATTCGCTTAGTTTTTTCCAGGTGAAGGGAAGTCTGAAGAGATTGAGGCTGGGGTGGAAAGCACCCTTGGTGGGGAGTTGCCAAGCCAGGTTTGAACCTGTGTCTCTGCTGCACCTGCTGGGGTCCTCAGGGCATCCTTTCCTCTCTGTCAAATGAGGGGACTTCACCACTTTCTCCTAAAGTTAACCTCACACTCAAAAACTCCACTCTTTCACAAAACTTAGATTCTTGGAACTTCTAGTGAGGAAAGAAACAGAGGAAGGGGGATAAAATTATCGAGGAAGTCACAAAGGAGAATGGTGTGTTTTGAGGTGCTGGGTGAAGGGGTCCTGTGAGCTGTAGGGTTGCCTTGAATCCACTTTCTGAAGGGCTGTTTGGGCATCGCTGCCTGGATATCTTCCTGACAGGATTTTCCTCGTGACTTGATGTGGCCGCCACCTTCCTTCTCTCAGGGAACGGCGAGGCATGTCGACCAGGGGACACATGATCTCAGAGGGCACACAGATCCTGTAAGGAGCATCTGTTAGCAGGAAACAAGGAGTGACAGCAATTGTGAGGTGAAGGCGTGGGAGGAAATTGAAGGGGAAGACAACTGTGGTTGGGCATTTACTGTCCTCACCACTCCTAACTTTTCTGAGGAAAGATGGCCTCTGAAACCGCTACCGTGATGAACAATTGACTCTTCCACAATCCTAAATTCAGCCCATATCCATCACGATTGGAAAACAGTAATTCAGAAAAGCCTTCTCTGTCTCTACAGTGAGGCTCATTTTCAAAACATTAATAGAAGCTTTTCAAACTAGAGATGACCACTTATAATTCTGTATATTATGTGAGGAATGATTTTACAAGGGTGACTTTTGGACTTTACTTATTCTGTTATGCCTTTGGTGGCTGGCCTTATGAACTCTGAACCAACCAAAACACACAGTTGTTTATCAAATGCCATCTTGTTTCGGTTCTGGCTCTGTGATTGCAGGGGTGAGGTGAGAGCTTCAAATGCTTCCTAAGAAAACTTATGCCAAGCTGATTAATGAGAGAATAGCCATGTTAGCTATTCATTTTATAAACAAAATCATACCTGCTGTAAAGATAAACCAAGTGTAATTCCAGGAAAATAATACTATTATGGGTATTGTTTAAAAGATAATTTCCTTTTACATTAAATAGCTATAGTCGGGTAGTCAGGAAGTTCAATCATTTCTGCTTATTCTTGGCAAGCTGGGTGCCAGGAGACGCTTTAAATGGAAATTTACATTATATATTTCAAATGGATCCAAAACAGTACTTTAAATCGTGTTTCAATCTTATTTTGTTAAGAATGAAGTAGACCCTGAAAAGAAAAGCTGGACACATAAGCACGTGTGAGATGGTGTAGAATGGATCTCTATAAACACGAAGATTCTAGAAAACAATCACAAGAAAGAAAATTGTGGCACAGCACTTGTTTATTTCCCTCGCTTTCTAAACTGACCGCCAAATGTAGGTTCTTTAAGGGATGCTTTAAAATTTTAATATTTCATAGAATAGAGATGCTTAGAATCCAACTGAATTGGTCAGGGATGGAGTCTGGGTGATATTTATTAAAAACAAAAACAAAGCCCAAAACAAAAAACTCCCCAGATAACGTGCAGCCAGAGCTGATAACCATTTTGACTGTCAACAAGCTCAACGGGGGGAGAACAGACCTCCCAGAGAAGCTTTAAGAAATTCTTCTTCTGGGACTCTTTTAGCACTAACAGGCATCCAACCTTGCAATAGGAGTGAGGTCTTTTTTTTTTTTCAACGTTTATTTATTTTTGGGACAGAGAGAGACAGAGCATGAACGGGGGAGGGGCAGCGAGAGAGGGAGACACAGAATCGGAAACAGGCTCCAGGCTCCGAGCCATCAGCCCAGAGCCTGACGCGGGGCTCGAACTCACGGACCGCGAGATCGTGACCTGGCTGAAGTCTGACGCTTAACCGACTGCGCCACCCAGGCGCCCCAGGAGTGAGGTCTTTTAAGCGTGCGGGCAGCCTGAGTGATCAGGGCAAATACAGATTTAAAACACTTAAACAGTAATTATTTAATTACCTGTGGTTAAGAACAGCTTAATCATTATAACATGCTTCACTATATATTTTTATTATGTTAATTTTGGCCTCCATATTAAATGGGCTTTTTCAGCGTTTTAGTCATTTAAAAATTATACATACATATGAAATTATGCATATTTTGTCTATACGTGTGTGTATATTATGTATGTACATGCATATATATACACACATACAAACAGTTGGCTGTTGAACAATGTATGCATGATTTGTATTTTTTATTAATATGGAAAAGGACTGTAAATGTAAATTTTCTCTTATGGTTTTCTTAATAACACTTTCTTATCTCGAGCTTACTTTATTATAAGAATAAAGTATATAATGCATACAACATAAAAAATACATGTGTTAGTCGACTTTCTGTTATTGGTAAGGTCAACAGTAAGCTATTAGTTGTTTTTTGCGGGGCGGGGGGGAGGAGGGTCAAAAGTTACATGCGGATTTTCAACTGCTGACGTCAGTGCCCCTGACCCCTGTGTTATTCAACTGTGTATTGAAAAGTTGAGAAAGAAAGAGGTAACAGGATCATGAATACTGAAATATGAAATGTGGCTTTCACTCAACAGAGTGGGCTTCCTGGGCCATGCATCTTCTGTGCTCATGCTAACTGACAGTCAGCAGTTCATTCTAGAAAAGTCTTGTTTTATGCAAGAAATAACGGAATATGGTGTGCTGGAGAGATGAATATAACTTAATACATTAACCTTCCACAGGATCTGACACCAACTCCTAATAAATTAAAACCCTGATTGGCTTTCCTTGTCACATATGTCCCATTACCCATAGAAACATTGCTAACGCTTCTTGACTGTATCACAGAATCATCGTGAGGCTGGTGGGGCCAGTCTCGGCCACCACTCAAGATGCCTGAGGATCTGCAGAACAAACAGGAGCTTGATAGGGGATTTGTGCAGAAGGCTGTCCAGTCTCACTCTGATGGGACCCTCCAAGGAGCTGTCACGCCTTAGCACATCCGGGAGCACAGAGACTTTGCGGCTATGCGAAGAAGAATTGCACTAAACTGTTTCCTAAATGGTAGGATTTATTTCAATGCTCACATACAATTGCATGAGACAAACTATTTACATAAAACATAAGTACAAAAACTATAATACAATTTATACTGTACATAATCGGGATTCTCTTATTTCGTCCCCCAAAGTGTTGGCAGGTAGAGATGGGAGGGAGGGGATGCTATGGAAGGAAAGATGGCACTCTGAGCAACACTCAGGGTCATTCTTCCTGAATTTGTTTGAAAAAATAAAATGAATTGGGTTGGATCGTAGAAACTGGCAATTCACTGAGAGCAGTGAGTGAGCACGGCATTCTCCCTTCTGGAATAACAGCTCATTTTCTTATAAATATGTTTGCTTTCCTCAGCGTTGGGACTTGGAGGAGGTGTGAGTTGGTTTCTGCTGATTGGTGGGTAACACCTGCCCCCCCCCCTCCGACTGCCCCTTCTCAACATTTTCCATAGTTGACCCAAATGCAGCAACGGATGAGCTGCCGGCCTGGGGTGCCACAATCAGTGTCTCAAACTGACTCTTGAACGCAATGCACCTGTCAGGTGTCATTAAACAACATTCTTGGATACAGCGCCGGACAGCTCTCTCCAGTGAGCATTTAAGACCAACAAACTGATGAACAGAAAACATAAAAGTGAAGACTATTGGAAATTTGTATTACACATTTCTAACGACAAGGTTTCAAAAGAAACCTTGAAAAACCAAATGTAAGGACTAAAAAAAAGGTGGAGGTGGCACCCAAGAAAGTGAAGACAGATCTGCAATCCATGAGGATTCCAACTGGGCAATCAAAACTCCGTTTTCTCATTCAAGGGAAGGGAAAGGCAACACTGTCTCATCTACAAAGCTCCATTATGATTCATACATATGGTCTTTTAAAAACTAATTTTAAGGTCAGTAACTATCTGCAAGTTTACCAAGGGCTGAAGTTGGCTTTGGTTGGAGAAGGTTCAGTGAAAAAAAGCAAAACAATCCCAAGGAAGTTTATTTTGTATCACAAAACAGCAACAGCAAATTCACACAGAATGAGGCATTTAACATTTCATAACGTCTTCAAAAGTCACATCAAGGGGCGTAACACGCAAGCTTCGTTATACGCTTTTGAAGAATCCTACAAGGGAGCAAGTTTGTGCATTTTCTTTGCAGATGATGTAGAGTTTCAGTGGTGACTGTAGGTGCCTGGGTTGAAGGTTCACACTGTGCTTTCCTTCAAAGTGCAGAAGTTAAAGTTTGATTTTGGCCAACAGTCATGGTATAAGAGAAAACACCTTCAGCAGAGAAAACACTGTTAACTTTCTTAACCCAAATTAAGGGTGACAACTTTGTGAACTTGTGAAGCAGTTTTGAAATTGCCTTAAAACACACACACACACAATGTTCTAGGTGGTTCTCACTCCACTCACGGTATCTGTGCCAGCTGCCACGAGCCTGATTTTCCTGTACCTTGGACTTGCCTGAAAGGGGTCAGTAACAAAAACTCTAACTTCTATAGACACCACATCGGCATCCCCACTACAGACCAAACACTAAGGTGTTCTCATGGAAGATGTAAAATTAAGGTGATGTCAGTTTCTGGAAGGCTGAGACCAGATTAACCTGAACTCTGAGCACACTTCTGCACCTGTTCCGGTGCTACATGCGCTACCCAGTGGGGGCAGACATGACACCCGACTAGGATGTGCTCCTTGGTCATTTTCTATTCCTGAGTTCAAAGAGACAGGTAAGAATGATTTTCTTCAGAGTGTAGCCAGTCAGTCCTCTGCTTTGAATTGGAACCAACAATATCCAGATGGGAGGACAAATCACCATCTTAAACAAGGCACTGGCAACTTTGTATAGAGAAAATGAAACTCTCTGCACTTACGGAGGATGGCTAACAACGCTCTCTTCTTAGTGACATGACAGAAGGACTGTTTGGATTTTCCAGAATCCAGATTGGGCTCCCAGCCTGTATTTGTCTAGCATTTGAACTGTTTTGAACTACCATCTGAACCACCGTTCACCTAACATTTGGGCCACTTGGCCTTTCAACCAAAGCTAAAAAATAATAGGGTTGTGGTCAAACTACTGGCCTCAGATTTCTTACTGAATATGAAGAGATGGAGTGGATGGTATTGCCAGCCCAACATGGTGGTTTAAGAAACGCCACAGCATGGTTTTCCACCTCTCCTTTGCTCCTTTCAGGTTTTTAAATGTCCTTGACTAGTTATCCTCATCATGTCAATACAGTAAAACCTCTTTGCTTGAACAAAAATGGATTCTGACTCTGGTCATGGTTAATAAGCTTGATTGCTTTCTGTGGCAGAACTAATACGATCTTTTGCAAATACTATGAGACAGCTTACGCTAGGAAATGAACATGCTGTCAGGCTCCGCTTTGGGTTTTGATGATGTTCTAAGTCCCTGTGCGGCATAAGCTATATTTTCAAGAGAAAACAATCCCTGTTCCTGATGCTTTTGTAATATAGACCAAATTTTTGATAATGTGACATATGACATATGAAGAAACTTTGATTCATCTACTTCCCAAAACATGTATAACACACCCTTAATATAGTCCATAAAAAAGGAGTATAGAATAGTCATTACAGAAATTCCTGCCAATAATTCAACAATGCATCTTGTTCATTACTTGTCAGTTTCCAAAAGAGAAAAGCAAGGATTCCAACAACATTTCCCTGTGTTTTATCAGGCTATCAAAACAGATAACATGAATACCTCAAGTCGGCATTCGTAGAGTTACAGAGCATCTTTAAATCAGTTATTAATGACCTCAATAGGGGAGAGCAGCCGAAATAAATTCCACCATGGCTCCTGGCCTCCAAATCTTTTCTCTCACACGGGGATACACCGTGCAATGACTGGCATTTCTTTTTGTGCATTTCTCAGGCCAAAGTGACTGTTACTTTATGTTCTTCCATTTCATTCCCATTGAGAGAAGCAAGGGCTCAGAATGGCTTTCTAGTTTCTGATAATCGTAGGTAATCAAACTTGCAATATTGTGTCAACGTATTATCACCAGGTCAACAAGAATTATCATGACATAATGGAGACATTAGAAGGGATGGATGCATGGGGTAAGCCAACGCGGTCTGAGAATTCCACTTTGCCCCATCCTATCCTGGAAAGCACAGCAGAGAGTTTGCATATGAGTTGATTCAAGGTAATCATTGTAGTCCCCACCTTCATGAACATTGATTATTGGAGCTGGAGGCTTAGGGACAATCCTGTTCTGTGGAGCTCGGCTGCTTTGAGGCAGAAGCACTTCACTGGATCCACCGCTGGTACCTGCTGCCCCTGGGGAGGTGCCCCAGAGCCCTCTTTTGAGACAGAAACGCGAAATTTGGAGTTGCCCCCAAATGCCACACAAGAAAACCCCACTGGAGTGTAAAAGACTTCCTGCCGGAGGTGGTGTGACAGTGCTGGGGAAATGTTCGCGGTTTATTCGGAGAGCAAGTAATTATCATAGAGAAGCATAAAGATACGTGTGAATTCAAGCACTAGCAAAGCTGCACTTTGTGCATCAAACAGGTATTTGGACAACATGACTAGCTGAGTGCAGACCCCTACAGACTTCAAATAAAGTCTCCTCTGATCTTCAGTTTCACCCGCGTGTACCCCGGCAGGTGGCCCTGGGGACGCGGCATCCCCCGTTGGGACTCTGTCACAGCTTGGAAGGCTCTGCCCCGCCAGGGCCACCGCAGCCTGGGGTGCAAACGCGCACCCTCGTGGGCCGGGGGCCCCCACGGCCTCACCCTTGTGCAGACAGAGCAGGACACGAGGGCGCCCGGGGCGGAACCCCCTGCGGTCTGCGCAGTGGATCCCCCCAGGGTCCTGGCTTCAGACCCACAGAGCCGGCGGGTCCGGGCTCCCCACCCGGACCGTCCCTCCCACTCGGCCCGGAGCCGCTGCCTTCACATCTTC